CAGAGCGGAATCTTGCAACTTGAAAGTATGGTCGATTTTGTTGCGTTTTCTAGTAATTCGAAGTGTCTTACATTTATCTGTGTTGAGGAGAAGATTAGCATTGGCAGAGGAGGTTTGGAAATTCGCAAGATCATTCTCCATAGCGGATGCATCAGCCTTCGCGTTTATCACCTTGTAAATCTTTGTGTCGTCAGCAAACGTCGCGATCTTCGAGTGGTTGATGGAGTTGGGGAGATTATTCTGATATAATAGGAACAGCAGCGGTCCAAGGATTGAGCCTTGTGGAACTCCGGAGGTTACTGGTAGTGCTGACGATGTTGCACCAAGTACTGTAGTCTGCTGCCGACGGTCCTTGAGGTAAGATCTAAACCAGTTAAGAATATTTCCACCGAATCCAAAATCACGAAGTCGTTTCAACAGTTGCATGTGACTTACTCGATCAAACGCCTTGGACATATCCAAGTAGATCACATCAACTTGTTTCCCAAGATCCAGCTCACGACCAATATACTCAAAAACTTCAATGAGCTGTGTAACACAGGACTTCCGAGGAACAAAGCCATGTTGACCATTGTTAATCTGTTCGAAAACGTGGTCTTTGATCTTATTGAACACGCATCTTTCCAATGCTTTCGAGATAAGCGAAAGAAGCGAAATTGGTCGATAGTTTTCTACGTGCTCTTTGTTGTCTTTTTTGTGAACGGGAACAACATTTGCTAGTTTCCAGTCGCGTGGTAACACACCAGTGTTCAGAGATTTATTAAACAAGGCGGTTAGTGATGGAGCAATTTGGCGAGCTGTTTCTTTTAATAATCGTGCAGGAATCCCATCTGGACCTTGGGCTTTGTTAATGTCGAGGTTATGCAATACGGAGAAAACATCGGCTTCCGAAAGGGTAATGTCCTCGATGATAGTATTGTTAGACTGATATGGAAGAGCGTCAGAGCTGTAGTTTTCGATATTTGGATCGGTGGTAAATATAGATGTGAAGTAGTTGTTGAACAGCGCAGCAATATCTGCTGGATTTCCTGCGGATGTTCTTTTGGTTTCAGTTACTTTCACCGAGAGCTTTTGAGGAATGTTCCGTGTCTTATTATTGAACTTGAACAGGGACCAGAAGCGTTTCGGATTAAGTCCACGGCTGGAACAAATAGAGTCGAAATATTTGGAGCGACTGTTACGTAACATACTCTTGATAGAACTACGAAGGGTTTTGAATTTTTCCAGGAGATATTCAGTAGGTGTAGGGGATTTCTTAATTCTGAGGCGGAGAGAGTTTTTCTTCTTCATGTTGTGTAGAATTGTAGAATTCATCCACGGTACATAGTTGCGACCCTTTACTCTCACTGATGGTATGTGTTGGGATACTGCTTCTAGGAACGCCTTCTTCCATTGTTGCCAGTCGTGGTTGATATTGTCGTCGGTTGTAATCAGGGAATCCAGATTTAGACATTCAAGGGAAGTTCGTAAGCCAGCAAAATCACCTTGACGATAATTATAGACAGTTCTGCGTATCTTTGGTAGTTGATTATGACACATTGAAAGTTCAAACACAATAATGTTGTGGTCGGTGAAAAGTTCTGCTTGAGTGGGAGACAAAATTTCACATATTTTGACTTTGTTGGGAATATTGGTTAGAACGAGATCTAACGTGTTATTACCTCTAGTAGGCGCGGTGTTTAGTTGTTCCAAGAAATGGTCATGGAGCAGTTCTACGAAGGTATTTTCGTTACTACCTGATGTTCTCTCTGGCGAGTCCCATGATATACGTGGCATATTGAAATCTCCTGCAAGCACAATGTTTGAGTGTTGTGAACAAACATCACTCATAAAGTTATTGAACTTGTCCAACCAGCTATGATCTGAGTTTGGTGGACGATAACAAGAACAAATTAATAAACTTGCGTTTGAAGTGGTTGTTATTTCAGCCATGGAGATCTCCAAATCATGACCATGTTGAATTTCTCGCACTGATTTAAATGAAGAAATCTTTATCGCTAACAGTACTCCACCACCACGAGATCCGCGATCGTTCCTGAATATGTCATATCCCGAATGCAGAATTTCAGAGTTTTTAATATCCTCATTAAGCCACGTTTCGTTGACACAAACGATATCGGGATCTTCAGAATAGACCAAGTTCTGGAAGCGTTCCATGTTAGTATCTGTCAAATTGTTTCCGATGTTGGTTTTATGTAAACTCATCAGACTTCGAGCATTGAGTGCGAGACATTTTACGAACTGGTTTTCACGATTCGTGTGTTTGTAAGTTTAGTAAGTAATGAATTAGATAAACAAAGCCCCGATACAAATAATAAGAATAATTCAATTATAATGACAATGAGTGATGGAGCAGAAAGTCAAAGCTACAATAGAAATAGTATAACTAAAGAGAGGGAATTAAATAGAGGATTTAAATTAAAATTGCTCATTTAAACATCCGAAGTCAACATTGATCAATTGAGGGTATATTTACGAAAAGAGCAATTTGATGTAATTAGTATAAATTAATGAACTATGTTAGATGACACGGTAGCTGACCATGAAGTATATATAAGGTGTTACGATATAATTAGGAACGATATACGAATAGAAATGGATGTGGCGTGGCTATCTACATAAGAAGTGTGATTAATTATATAGAAAGATATGACCTAGAAGATGATAATCTGGAAACGATAACAGTTGAAATCTCTAAGCCAAAATCGAAGTCATTTGTAGTTAATACTTGATATAGACCGTCTGACACTTCAGGTACCGTTTTTGCTAATTTTGAAGAATGCGTTAAAAAGCTAGACGTGGAGAATAAGGAGATTATACTTATAGGAGATTTTAACTGTAATTGGGATCCAGAAAATAGTAGAACAAGCTCGCAAAAAGAAAAACTTAAAGATATTGCGACTACATTCCAATTTAGGCAGTTAATTACGGGGAACACTAGGATTACTGATAGCTCAGCAACGCTAATTGATTTAGCGTTTACTAACACGCCTGAAAATATTGTCAAATCAGTGACCACAGTCTTTTTATACAAAGGAAAATTTAAATACCGCGCAAACAGTCAAAAGTAATAGTTACAAGGCAATATAAGAACTATATGAAGCAGCAGCGGTTAATATAAAAATAACTTAAGTAAAATTCTGTCCACGTTGATAAATACTGAGAACCTTGACATTATATGGGAAGATTAGAAAACAAAATTTCTAGTTGTAGCGGATATACATGCACCTTGCATTACTCGTAAAGTGAGGAATGACTATGTACCCTGGAATACGGCAGAAATAAAAAACTCAATGTACTATAGAGATTCCCTCAAGAAAAAAGCTGTTAAAACTACCCCTGTAGGTCTAAATAAGCACATGAAGCGTACAAAAGAGCCCGGAATGATGTCAATAAAATGATCAGACATACAAAGGCAACCTATTACATGAATGCTTTTAACCAATATGAGTCTAATCCGAAAGAAATGTGGAAAAAAAATAAATGATCTAACAAACAACCAAACGTACAAGGGGATTGAGTAATGTTAACTGATCTAACAGAAGTTTCGAACTCCTTGCGAAATTGGCCCAGATCTATTTGATAAATTACCAGAACCAGATTATGTAGCAGAATCGTATGTAAATCCCATAAATTTCGATTTCTATTTTCAAACAATAACCGAGGCAGAAGTTTTAAATTATTGACTACACTTAAAACATCTAAGGCCACGGGACATGATATAATTTCGGCTAAACTGTTGAAGGACGTCGACTCTGCGGATTTAATTACAAAGACGTTGACTCAAATAATTAACAAATCAGTATTTTTAGGTACATTTCCAGATGATATGAAAGTGGCAATTATTTCTCCTATTTATAAAACAGGAAACAAAACGGAGACCACGAACTATATGGACCAGTGTCCGCACTCTCCGTTGTCGCGAAAATGTTTGAAAAATTATCTCGCAGCAGCTTTCTAATTATTTGGAAACAAATGGAGTAATAGTGAACCGGCAATTTGGTTTCAGAAAGAAACAAGCACTCCACACAAACAGCGCTCCTAAATGTTACAAACAAATGGTATTTACATTAAGGCTATTTGAATGGGGTTATATTCCTTGACTTAAAGAAAGCATTTGATTGCGTAAATCATAGCATTTTGTAAAAAAAAATACAACTCTATATATATGGTATAAATGGTGTGGCCTATAGCTGGTTTAAATCGTATATTTAACAAATCGAACCCAAATGTGCAAGATCGGACAAACTAGGTCGCAACAACACACCATACATTGTGGAGTACCCCAAAGATCTAATTTGGGACCACTTCTGTTTCTCCTATATATAAACGATCTACCAAACTGTTTATCGCATACATCTGCGAATATAATCGCAGATTATACTAATATACAACAACACCGTGGCCGGGCATATTTTTCAAGCTCGCCCGGTGTGGATATACACTCAGAGTAACATCACAAACATCATATAACAACAAAAGGTTTCAACATAGAGGACATTCAAACGCGTTTAAACGATGATCTAGAACATATTCATCAATGGTTATTGGCGAATAAATTGATTTTAAATACAGATAAAACAGAATACATGATAATTGGTTCGCGACAGAGACTATCAAAGATTGAAACTGACCCTGTAATTGAATCAGGTGAAACAAAAATTAAGCGCGTTAAGTATTCGAAAACGTTAGGCATTATTATAGATGATCAACTTTTGTGGAAAAAACAAGTGGAAAGCATTGTATCCAACGTGTCCCCTAAAGGTATAGGTATGCTGAGACGAATACAGAGTTATGCCACCAAAAGAACATTGATAAATGTTTATAACATGATAATACTGCTATATTTTGAATACTGTAGCCTTGTTTGGATTACTGTAAGTGCAGCGAATATCTGCGCGACAAAATGCAAAAAATGCAAAACAGTGCTGCAAGGGTCATCACTGGCAGACCATATGAAATAGCAACAAAAGAAATATTTAAGGAATTAAATTGGCAACCTTTAGCCGACCGATGGGAGAAAAATAAGTTAGTGTTTATTGTTCGAAATCGCTAATAATCAAAACTACAATTTACGCAGCAAGGGTAATGATTTTCGTTTACAAAAACCAAAAACAAATTACATGAGAAAAGTATTAGTTATAATGGAGCATTAGCGTGGAACAATTTGTCAAATAATGTAAAAGCAACAGATATGTCAATTGGCCAATTTAAGGCTGCTCTCGACAGCAAATAATACGTGATTCTCTTCTGTAAATACTTTTCCATATTTGATAAATTTCCTGCATGTTAATTAAGTTACTTTGTTATTATTCTGTAAATATCTTTCTATTTGACAACATTTCCTGCATGTTAAATCCTAATTACGTCGTTGTGATTTTGTAAATAATGTATATTTTTAATTTAATATTTTGTAAATATTTTAAACGACCCCTTGGAAATCAACTACCTAGGTGTGTTGAAGGGTTACCGTTTTAAATAAGAGTTAATAAATAAACAAATATGGTATTTAATACAGGCCTAGAAAATATATTTCTCTAGGTGGCAGCAAAATCCAAAAATAAACATTTCATGTGTAAGTCAAATATATAAAACTTCCTGCATATATGGATTCCAAAGCCGTACAATGCCACACATTGTGATAAACCCAGTCTCAACTTGCAACATGCTTTTATAAATTAACAATGAGTAAACCTCTGGCGGTATTAGACAAATTGCCATTGCATTGATTAATCTTGTATATAACATTTCCCACTTATCATGTGATATAAGACAGACAATCATGAGTAAATAAAAAGTTGTGGGTGACAGAATGAATTAATAGAGGTATTTATCTTCTAAACAGTGTCAGACTTGTGATCGTTGTCAAAGATTTGAGAAGATAAAACTCAGGCACCAGAATTGAAATCAATCAAGGTCAATGAACCCCAGGAATTGGTTGGAATGGATCTCATTGGTATGATATAGATATATGACGATACAACATACACATCTGGGGCCGGTTGTACGAAGGTTGGATAGTGCTATCCACCGGATAGTGATTATTTCAACCTTTGTAAAATGCTTGAAAAACTGTGAAACTACGGATATAGACGACACAAGAAGTATAAAAAACATTTAACTTATAAATACTAAACTTTAATACGAGTTATACCAATCAATGACTGATTTAACAAAGCTTGAAAAAA